AGTGTGATGTTGGAGAAGACTCTTGAGAGTCCCTTGGACTGAAAGGAGATCCAACCAGTCAATCCTAAAGGAAATCAACCCTGAATTTTCATTGGAAGGACTGATACTGAAGCTCCAATACTTTGGCCACCTAATGCAAGGAGCTGACTCATTGGAAAAGACCCTGATGCTGGGAAAGATTGAAGGTGGAGGAGAAGGGGGGTGACAGGATGAAATGGTTGGATGGCATCACCAACAATGGACCTGAGTTTGAGCAAACTCAGGGAGATAGTGAAGGACAGGAGAGCCTGGAGTGCTATAGTCCATGGAGTCGCAAAAAGTTGGACACAACTTTGAGACTGAACAAGCAAAAGACGTTAAAATTAAGAATTGGCATGTGAGGGATGTTCTGATTTATTATGAGTTTTCTTAGCGTTAGGTTTCTTATGTAGTTGCAAAATTATATGTGTGATTGATATTTGATATTAATGTTGAATCGACCCTAGAGGGGGATGCCTATAATTTCCTTCTCAACCATAGAGTATCAGCTCTTTGAGACAGGCTGCTTCATGAAGTTGAGGTGTGAACATGCTGTAGAAGGAGCCCAGCTAAGGAGGGCTCAGGCCACCCTGCTGTGTATGGCCACGGGAACTCGACTAACACCAGGGCTAAATCTGGCAAGTCCAGTGCTTCCTGACTGCCTGCAAGAAAATTGCTTAGAGAACCAGTGATGATAGGTACCAAAAGCCATCAACATTATTCTAGAAAGGAAAAGTAGAAAAATGCTGTCTGATCACTGGCTACAGGTCAAAGGGCATATTGAGTATTTGAACATGAGACATCCTTCCAACTTCATCATCTCAACCTTTAGGTACAAATTGTTCTACTACTTTGGTGAATAACATGGAAGTTAGAGATTTCAACAGACACCAAGGCTATTTGCTGAGCAGGAAGTGTAAAACATATTAGTTTATCAAAAGAAATTGTTTGCCTTTTATTTTTTATTGAAGTATAGTTCATTTTCAGTGTTAGTTTCAAGTGTATAACAGTGATTCAGTATTTTTAAATTATACTCCATTTAAAGTTATTAATATCAACTATATTCCTTGTGCTGTACAGTGTATTCTTGTAGCTTATTTATTTTAGACATAATCGTTTGTGTCTCTTGGTCCCCTACTCCTCTATTACTCCTACCATACCACTGGTAACCACTGGTTTGTTCTCTGTATTTGTGACCCTGTTTCTTTTTTGATACAGTCATCCATTTGTTTTTAGATTGCACATATAAGTGATAATATACAGTGTTTGTCTTTCTGTGACTTTTTTCACTAACCATAATACAGTTTAGGTCCAAACATGTTGCTGCAAATGGCAAAATCTCATTCATTTTTTGTGACTGAGTAGTATTCCACTATGTATGTGCATATGTGTGTGTGTGTGTATATTATAGATACACAAACACCGTATCTTCTTTACCCATTCATCCATTGATGGGCACTTGAGTTGCTTCCATATATTGGCTTTTGTAAATAATGGTGCTGTGAACATTGGAGGACATGTATCTTTTCGAGTTAGTGTTTTTGTTTTCTTCAGATATATGTATATACCCAGGAGTGCAATTGTTGGACCATACGGTAGTTCTATCTTTAGTTTTTGAGGAACCTTCATACGGTTCTCTATAGTGGCTGCACTGATTTACATTCCCACCAACAGTGTGTACTAGAGTTTCCTTTTCCCCACATGCTTGCCAACATTTGTTATTTATAGACTTTGATGATAGCCATTCTGACAGGTGTGGGGTGGTTTCGTAGTCCATTCTTTATTTAAATTAATTTTCCTCCTAAATAAAAATGATTCCTAAAATTATGATAAGGCAGGGTTTCTCAGTGTTTAGCACTGAGGGCATTTTGGACTGCCAAAATGTGGAGGGCTGTCTTGTGTATTACAGGATATCAGCAGCATCCCCAGCTTTTATCCCTTAGATGTGAGTAAAACCCCACCACCATGCCATTAAGAGAACTGAACTGTCTATAGACAGTACCATATATCCCTAGGGGACATATCACCTCTTGTGTAAAACCACTGATACAAAGGGAAAAATAATCAAAAAGGGGGTGGGGGTATGGCAATAGAATCACACTGTCCTTGAGTGTTTCCTAGGTGGCTGAGCAGTAAAGAATCTGCCTGCCAGTACAGGAGACGTGGGTTTGACCCCTGGGTCGGGAAGCTCCCCTGGAGGAGGAAATGACAACCGACTCCAGTGTTCTTGCCTGGAGAATCCCATGGACAGAGGAGCCTGACGGGCTACAGCCAAAGTGGTTGCAAAGTCAGACGTGACTTAGTGACTAAGCATGCAGGCACACACTGTATTTTTTTACCTAAATAACTCTTGATCCACGTTCTGCTCTGAAACAATAATGCAGGTGCTAAATAATTGTAAATTAAGACAGTGTACCAGTTTGGCTTCAAATATTGGAATTTTTGTTTTGGGAAAAAATATAGTAGGTGTTTTCTTCAGCAGCAAGCAAATATCCTATGTATGTGAAATTAACACCTTGCTTGACAGGTGAGGGATTCTAAAACAACTCTTTAGTAATGTAGCAAGAAAAGAACCCAGATTTCTTAAGGTCCAACCCAGGGAATATACTTCTTATTAGAACAATCTACTCGGTATAAGGCTACTGGGTATGGGGCTTCCCTACTGGCTCAGTGGTGACGAATCTTCCGGCAGTGCAGAAAATGCGGGTTTGATCCCTGGGTCAGGAAGATCCCCTGGAGGAGGCATTGGCAACCCACTCCAGTACTGCCTGAAAAATCCCATGGACAGAGGAGCCTGGCGGACTGCGGTCTATGGGGTCACAAAAAGTCAGACACGACTTAGCAAATAAACAATCTGGTATGAATCTAAGTGATTATCATTATTATCTGGAATACATTTTTTAAAAGTGTAAACTTTTGGCTCTTTGAGGTTTTTAGGGTGACAAGTTATGTTTGGAAGCCACTGCACCTGACCACATTGCTATTCGTTTATTTATTTTAGCTGTACAAGCAAATCATGTTTGGTGGAGTTTTCTAGATAGGTAGGATTGAATGCTGTTACATTTCAGGTCATATTGCTAACACTGTACCTTCATGTTTATTCACAAAGGCGGGCAAGAAAGGAGGGGGAGAGAGAGAAAAGGAGGAAGGGAGGTGTGTGTTCGGTTTGCTGTGGGGTGGTGGACAATAACCATTTACACCCAGCAGGGGGAAAAATGGCAGCTTTTACTAACTAGATAATGGTTGTGGTAGAGTTTGGTTATAAGATGTTAAAGTAACTTCTGCCTATTTTCTTGTGTGACACTTGCACATCTTACCAACAGACATTTTCTAACATGGTTTAAAAGAGCAAAGGCAGGAGGAAATATAGGGTATGTTTTGAAAAAAGTCCTGTACACCTCAGAGAGCAAAATGCTGGTGAAACTGGAACGCTTGATGGCCCCGTCAGGCAGCCGTTTGGTATCTATCGCCGTGCTGGAGAAACGGCAGTGAAGGTGTATAACAGTGCTGAGTGGAGGGCTGAGAGCCCAGGGAGCACTTCAGAGTGAAAGTGACCCTCCCACTTGTGGCCAGTTCTTCTCTAGACGTTGAATACAATCTTTGGTACCAGATATAGAAAATTCTAGTGAATAAACAAATTGAGGATTAGTATTGCAGTGCATTTATAGTTGTAGTGCAATTACTGATAAAAACTCCTAAAACATTCTAGGAATGTGTTGCTCATACTATATTACTATTTTTTTTAAGTCAATTGTGTTTTATTTTTACTGTGGTAAAATATGTATAATGTAAAATTTGCCACTTTACTTATTATAAGCGTGCAGTCCAGTAGCATTAAGTACATTAACATTGTTGTACAGCCAGAACTCCATCTCTAGAACCATCTCTAGAACTTTTCATGATCCCATATTGAAACTGTGTACCCATTAAACATTAATGCCCCATTGTCTTTTACCCCCCACCCGCCACCCACCCCTGATAACCACCATTCTAGTCTCTGTCTCAATGTATTTGATTATTTTGTATGCTTCATATTAGTGGAATCATACAGTATTTGTCCTTTTGTATCTGACTTATTTCGATTAGCATAATGTCTTCAAGGATCATCCATGTTGGAACAGGTATCAGAATTGTCGTATCCATTTGTAAGGCTGAGTAACATTCCATTACATGTATATGCCACATTTTTTATTGTGGTACAAACACAGCATGAGATCTACACTCATAACAAAATTTTAAATACAGCAATTGTTGTTGTTGTTCAGTCACTAAGTCATGTTCAACTCTTTTCAACCCCATGGACTGCATGCAGCACGCCAAGCTTAGCTGTCCTTCACTACCTTCTAGAGTTTGCTCAAACTCATGTCCATTGAGTTGGTAATGCCATCCAACCATCTCATCCTCTGCCACTCGCTTCTCCTGCCTTCAGTCTTTCCCAGCATCAGAGTTTTTTCCAATGAGTCAGCTCTTCACATCAGATGGCTGACGTATTGGAGCTTCAGCTTCAGCATCAGTCCTTTCAATGAATATTCAGGACTGATTTCCTGTAGGCTTGACTGGTTTAATCTTCCTGCTGTCCAAGGGACTCCCAAGAGTCTTCCTATAAGTAAATAATACAGCTTTGTTAATTATAGGCACAAGGGTATACAGCAGATATCTAGAATTTACTAATCTCGTATGCCTACATTTATACCCATTGGACACCAGTTCCACATTTCCCCTTCCCTCCACCCCCTGGTAACCACCATTGTGCATACTATATTTGTGTGTCCCTTGTATCACAATGTTGTTTCAGTAATTTAAAATGAATTAGAATGCTTCTGTACATTATTCAATAAAATTAAGTTTTAGAAATACTTAATTTAAATAAATTTACTATCCTGGTGAAATCTTCAAGTGCATATTTGGCTTCTTACATTAAGGTTTTGTAATGTTAATGTTTGTTGCTCACTGATCTTTCTTTCTTTTTGCATCTCTTGTAGTGCCACCACCAACCAATGTTACAATACAAGCCTACAACTTGAACACTGTTATATTTTGGGGCTACCCTATTACGCTACAGAGTCCTATGTTTACCGTACAAGTGATGAACTATGGGTGAGTGTCACTTTTATCTTTTTATCCTGTTTTTGCCTAGGTCCTTGCACATCTCCTAACTGATTCTTCCATCATCATTCCCTCCCATGTGGCAGAACTTCCTGAACTGCTTAACGACTTCCAGATGTAATAAGGATGCAAATTAGTTCTTTTCAGAATATTTCCTGCCTCTTAGTACTTCTTCCTGTCAGATTTAAGGTAGAGGAGTAGGACTAACTTCTGACATGTTAAGGCATGACGAATGAAGCTTACAGTTCTGTGTTAAAAACACCCAAGTCATCTTACTTCCTATAGTGTATGTATGAAGTAGAAAGAAAAATACAAATGTCAGGAGTTATTATAATATGTTGGATTCTATAAGTTATGACTGTTAAATGGACTCTGCTTTTGTTTAAAGAACAGATTTTTTTAAAATTACATGTGGAATGTAGTTTATAGAGGTCTGATTCTGAATTGAGCCTCTTTATTATAAATGATTTTATAGATCTTCTAATCAAAGAGTAAATATTTCCCACTTTATCTCGCTTCTTCCTCCTGTCCTTACTCATCTCTGTCTACCAGCTCCATGCCGTGAATGAACAGCAAGGCACAGACAGAGATGGTTTATGTGTTAACAGTAAAAGTTACCTTTGTGTTGTCTATTTTAGGGACGGGAAATGGATTGATGCCTGCCATACTTCCAGTCATTCTTGTAGTATCTTTTCTATAATTAATGATCCATCAAGTTCTCTCTGGGCTAGAGTTAAGGCCAGGGTTGGACAAGAAGAATCTGTCTATGTACAGTCCAAAGAATTTATTTTATGCAAAGAAGGTGAGTAGAATGTATACATGTCGGAATTTTAATTTCATTCGTGTCTTCTGTATATATTTGCTTTTATAAGCAGTTGCTAAAAATTACCACAATGCCCTCAGGAACATTTGGAGGAATTTAGGGAGTTCCTGTCTTCTCTTCGCCCAGGCCCCACAGTATAGGGCTGAGAGGTGCCCGTCACTTTGCCCTTCTCAACCGTTACACTCCCACCCCACGCAGGTATGGATCCGTGCTGTCCATTTGATCGCCACACCCGCTTCCCCTCTGTCTTCTGTCATTTCCTCCCCAGGTTCCGTTCGCTGAGGACTGTGAGAACTGCTCTCAGTCTTCCCCTCAAGGCCTCTGGCAATGCAACACATTAAATTTAACGTTTTTAATTTAACACATTAAAAATGTTACAGCTCTATAATCTCTTCAATCACAGTGATTTTTCAGTTCTTCACGCTTCCGACATCCCATTCCCATGATCTGCCTGATCTTCAATGTCACCTCAAGCTCCAGACTCTTCAGTGCCCATTCTTCTTTTCTGGCTCACATCCTACCCTGTAGCTCTCATACTGCCGCCCGTGGATAAGAGAAGTCGGTAGTCAGCCTGTTCCTTCCCAGTCTGTAGCTCTTTAATGCCTCGCCTTCTAGCTTCTCTTTCATCCTTGTTCAGCTCCCACGCTTCATGACTTCAACCACTGCCTGAGTTCTGCTCCTTCCTTTTGGTTTGTGCTTACTTCATCTCTTCTAGAAGCCCTGCCTCTACCTGTCCTTGAAGTAGTTTCATTCCCCAGAGTCCACGCTTCTGTCACCTGATAATTATACCATCTGTTATGTCAGATTTTTCCCACACAGATTTATCAAGGTCATACTATGTGCCAGAAAGTATGCAAGGCCCTAAAAACAGATCTGTCAGGCACATAGTAGGTATGCAGTAAATATGTGAAAAATAGATGAATGGTTCACCTACAAAGTTCCAGACATCAAAAACATAATAATAAACATTATGGAATCCATGAATAGCTAGTTCTGATTTTCGTAGTAAAAATTGAATGTATTTTGCAAACTCTTATGGAGTCTTCATTCCACGTGTCCATAGGCACTGGAAATACAAAAAGTTATGATGAGGATTCAAAGATAATTACAATGCCTTTTCTGAAATGTGTTTTAATAAGCATGTTCTGTTTTCTGTTTAATAATTTTTAACCTACAGAATCAAAGATAAAGGAAAGATAACTTCATAGAGTTTCTTTTATGTCAAGGCTTTTTACCAAGATTCATTAAGGACAGTAAAATATATTCTAGATGTTTGTGGAATGATTTAAATGCAGTCCTGCTTTCGAACAATAGCAACAGAAAGAGTAGGTTGATGGATTGAGTTTGGTACTGTTAGGTAATATGCTGTGGATCACAGTTCAAAGGCTGATACAAATTATAGTTCTTTTTTGTTCTCCACCCCCCAGGGAAAGTTGGACCACCTAAACTGGGTATCAGAAAGAAAGAAAACCAAATCACTGTTAATATATTTCACCCTTTAATTACTGTAAATGGAAAAGAGCCAGAAGCTATGTATGATGATGAAAATGCTTGTTACACATTCACATACACTGTGTTTGTGAGCGTCAATGGAAGTGAGGTATGCGTTTCTATCGCGTCTTTTTCTACATTGAAATGTTCATGTTGTTTGCGTAAGTTGTTTTATATGTGGTAAAATGAAAGTAGAATGTTTATGGATATTCAGTCATGACTCATGGCTCATCAGTTTTAGTAAGAAAAAAAGAAATATATGTTGAAGGGAATCCATACTGGAGTTAATCTTTAACACTGGCCCGGTGAATACATTTTAAGTTTTTTCTTTGCCTCTTTTAACAGTGTGGTTCTAATCTAGACTATTAACCTGTGTATCTCCATTTCTCCACTGGTAAGGTGAGGATAGCTTTCATCCTTCCTTCCTCATTGGTAGTGACGTGAAGTAATACGAAGCTCTCATTGGAATCCCTGTCTTTGAAAGAAGCAGCTTCCAGGACTCCTGTAGGATGTGATTACACCCCGGCACTGACGTGCAGACCCCACTTTGACTAGAATTTTCCTGTTCCGGCCCCTCTCCACAGCACTGCCGGTCCTTACTTAACGGAGTTTGTCAAGCACGTGCCTGCTGCCTTTTAGGCCCTCGGAGCGGCAGGGAGGCGGGCCGGGCAGCGGGGCGGGGCAGGGCAGTAGTGATTTCCAGCAGGGTGGCCGGGCCTCACTGGGAAGCGTTACTGGAGCCGGGCCTCGGGGAGGTGAGGAGGTGAGCTCCTGGATGTCCGTGGGCAGAGTGTTTCAGGCAGGGCCTGGCAGAGGCGCCCAGGCCCGTGACGGGGCAGCACGGCTGGGCAGAGCGCTGGGGCCGCTGGCGTTGGAGGGCTCACTGGGGGCCGCTTCTCTTGAGGCGGTGGAGAGATCTGAGTCTTCTTACTGAGTCGTCATGCCTCGTGGAGAGATGTTAGGAGAAAGACATCTGATTTAGGTTGTGAGACATCACTGTGGTTGCCCGCTGAGTTGTCTTTCTGAAGTGCATATCTGACCATATTACTTCACTGCTTAAAACCCTTTAACAAGTCCCCATTAGTACAAAATCATGTCTACGTTCTCTTCCGTGGCACGGCCCCTTGGCTCCATGACGTGGCCTCTTGCGTCCTTTCCACCGCGTGTCCCGCGTGCCTTCCAGCTTCGTTTTTGTGTGTGCTCTGCAGACCTGCTTCTGTTCTGAGTCTCCTGCGGGTACCCTGCTCTCTCGCAGAACGCCCTTCTCCACCTTGGAGAATTTCTGTTTATTCTTCAGTATTCAGCTGGCAAATCAGCTGCGCTTCGAAGTCTCTTCTGACCCCGTGGACTGTTTCCCCTTCTGTGGTCTGGTTATTCCTCATTTCATAGAGTGGGGCTTTCTCTTACAGTCCTCATCACTCACTTGCATTTCTTTCTTGTGTCTCTTGTACACTCTATCATAAGTTACTGGAGGTCAGGCACCACTTCTTACCTTTGTGTCCTTAGGCCATAGCACAGTGATCCACGCACTGTGGCTGGTTGAATGAATAATAAGCTCCCAGAGATTGCTTCAGTCCCGTCCATGTATTACTACTGAGAGATGCTCTGGCAGGATGCCTGGGTTATTCTTCCTATGAGATGCTCATCTCTCTCACCAGCTAAGTTTCAGGCACTATAGAAATAGGACCAGTGAGCATTTGTTGGTTTGACAGCTAACACTGAACATTCCTGCTCTTTGACTTTTTATATTCATAATCTGTATTTTAATTTTTAAATTTATAATCTATCTAAAGAACATTTTAACAGATTTATGGCATCATGCATCATGCTTTGTTGAAGTAACAGATTGACTTACTGTTTGAATATCAACACTATTTTCAGACATGTCAGCACTCATCATGTCTATGTTTTTCTTCAAATGTTCGACCAGGATAAGTATGGTGATATTTTTTTCCAAATTAAAAGGTGCCATGCATTTTCTTTGTTTTCTTTTTCTGTCCAGACCACAGATAAAATGTACACGAAGGAAGAGGATTGTAACGAGACTCAATGCTTCTTAAACATTCCTGTGTCCTCGCTGAATTCTCAGTACTGTGTTTCAGCAGAAGGAGTCTCAGAATCATGGGCTGTTACCACTGAGAAGTCTGATGAACTTTGTATTACCTTTTCTGATGATAGCAACACAGAAGGTAAGTTGTTACCATTTTTTCCTAAATGTAGGGTTTTGGTTTAGTCACTAAGTAGTGTTTGACTCCTTTGGGACCCTGTGGACCGAAGCCCAGCAGGCTCCTCTGTCCATGGGATTTCCCAGGCAAGAACACTGAAGTGGATATTCTCCAGGGGATATTCCTGACCCTGGGATCTAGTACACATCCCCTGCATTGGCAGGTGCATTCTTTACCACTGACACCAGGGAAACCCAGTATAAGGAGTGATCACTAAAATGGTAGTGTGAAAAAAGTTGATTTTTAATTTCAGTACATCTCTGCTCTTTTCAAAAAACATTTAGTAGTTCCGTTTCTCAGAAGTTTAAAATTAAAAATAAGGCCATTTTTCAGTCTTAAAAGATACGGAACAACCAATTTAGAAAGCTGTGTGATGACCTTTGACCCAGGAACGAAAAAAGGTAACACATAAAGCTGTGTGCATAAATTTCTGCATTTCAGGATTATGGGTAAGGACATATATCAGTTTGTTACTCTAATATAGCAAGATGTTATATATCCATTAAAATATTCTTCCTGGGGACAGTAAGTTTATAAACTAAAAAGCAGGAATGTGCACTGACTAAAATTGTGTTACCTGTGAACTGGACAAGCACTGGAAATTAACATCTAAAAATAAAGATTGGTTTAAATCATAGATAATGGGTCATTTTTATAACACATTTTTAAAATAAATGTTTTCATTTTATTATTATTTTCTTTAACAGGCATTCTCATTTGGCAGGTACCTTAACAAAACTTCAGGCTTATTTTTGATGTTAACGAAATTTAAATGTTCATTATAGAAAATTTTTAAAGTGTAAAAAGCCAGAAGGAAAGAAAAGCTGTAGTTCTGCCATCCAGATGAATACTCAGTTACTCACTGTTTGGTGGGTTTTTTTTCCATCCTATTTTTTCTTTTGCTTTGTAGCCATGATTGTACTACAGGACAAATATAACGTAGTACATGAGGCTTCCCAGGTGACTCCGTGGTAGAGAGTCTGCCCGCTAGTACAGAAGACACAGGAGGCGTGGGTTTGGCCCCGGGTCGGGAAGGTCCCCTGGAGGAGGAGATGGCAACCCGCTCCAGTATTCTTGCCTGGAAAACCCCGTGGACAGAGGAGCTTGGCGGACTATATATAGTCCATGGGGTCACAGAGAGTTGAACACAGCTGAACAGATGCACACACGCTAAGCATATGCTGTAAATATTTTTTCATTTTATTTTACATACTTTATTAATAGTATTTTTAATATCTTTAAAATATTTTATTATGAAGATCATATTTGAAGTGAAGTGAAGTGAAAGTCGCTCAGTCGTGTCCAACTCTTTGTGAGCCCATGGACTATACAGTCTGTGAAATTCTCCAGGCCAGAATACTGGAGTGGGTAGCCTTTCCCTTCTGATCTTCCCAACCCAGATATCGAACCCAGGTCTCCCGTATTTTCTTTACCAGCTGAGCCTAAAGGAAGCCCAAAGATCATATTTAATGTTTCTCAATTTTTTGATTACCTTGTCAGTTTGTCTTTATAAATCATACTTTGATGACTGTCTTTGGGGGTGTGCATGTGTGTGTGTGTGTGTGTATTTTACGTTGTTCAAGTGTTTTTAGAATATATTTCTTAGGTTAAAAATGTACAAAAAATGTTGCAAATTTCTTTTCAAAGAACGAAAATCTAGCCTGAAGAATCAGACCAAACACTTAAAATGAATACTGAAAACTTTTAGGCCATTATGTGAGGATTTCAAATAACTTAAAATGATGCAGTGCATTTAATATCCATTTGTGTTATGCTGTTTTGACTAAGAAAATGCATAAAATTTGAAATAATGCAAATACCCCAGATTTATTTTAAAAAAGAGAAATCCTGAGTCACACACCGGACTGCACAGTGGCACCTCTGTGGCTCATACGCAGGCAGCGTTCTCTGCCTGTCCGCGCCAGTGCTTTTGGGCAGGGTGCTATGTTGCTTGTGTGGTTATTTTATCTTTTCCTATTGTAAAAAACTTTTCGTGTCCTCTAACGGGTGTGATACAGGCATTTATTTTAGTAACTTCCCGAGTTACTCTTTTTTATTTTCTTGTTGGAGTATGACTGCTGTCAGTTTCTGACATGGAATCAGCCACATGCGTGTGTACATCCCTCCCGCCCCCGTCCCGGCCGGGCAGGTCATCACCGGGCATCAGGCTGAGTTTCCTGTGCCGCGCAGCAGGTCCCCACTGGCTGTCTGTCTCACACATGGCAGCCTGTGTATGCCAGTCCAACCCTCCCAGTCTGTCCCACCCGCGCCCCTCCACGTCCACATGTCTGTCCTCTACGTCTTCATCTCTCTTCCTACTATGGAAATAGGTTCATCTGTACCATCTTTCTAGATTCCACATATATGCGTTAACGTACAGTCCTTGTTGTTCTGACTGCACTCTACAGGACACATTCTAGTTCCATCCACATCTCTACAAATTACCCAAGTTCATTCCTTTTTTATGGCCCAAGTAATATTCCGTTGTAACTGCTTACCACATCTTCTTTATCCATTCCTCTGTTGATGGACATAGAGATTGTTCCTGTGTCCTGGCTATTGTAAATAGTGCTGCAATCAACATTGGGGTACACATGTCCTTTTCTTAAATTTTTTTTGTTTTTTTTAATTGAAGGATAATTGCTTTATAGAATTTTGCTGTTTTCCGCCCAACCTCAGCATGAATCAGCCACAGGTATACATAAGTCCCATCCCTCTTGAACTTCCCTCCCGTCTCCCTCCCCATCACACCCGTCTGGGTTGATACGGAGCCCCTGTTTGAGTTCCCTGAGACATACAGCAAATACCCACTGGCTGTCTGTTTTACATACAGCAATATAAGTTTCCATGTTACTCTGTCCATACGTCTCACTTTTGAATTATGGTCTTTCAGGGTATATGCCCAGTAGTGGAATCGCTGGGTTGTATGGTAGTTCTGTTTTTAAGGAACCTCCATACTGTTTGCCACAGTAACTGTATCGGTTAACATTCCCACCAACAGTGCAAGAGGGTTCCCTTTTCTCCACGTGCTCCCCAACATTTATTGTTTGAGAATTTTTGATGATGGCCATTCTCACTGGTGTGACATGATAACCTCATTGTAGTTTTGATTTACATTTCTCTTATAATTAGTGATGTTGAGCATCTTTTCTTGTGCTCTTGACCATCTGTATGTCTTTGGAGAAATGTCTGTTTAGGTCTTCCACCCATTTTTTGATTGACGTGTTTTGTTTTTTTTTTAGATTTTGAGTTCCATGAGCTGTTTATATATTTTAGAGATTAATCCTTTTTCCTTTACTTTGCAAATATTTTGTGCCTTTCTGTCTTTCTGTCTTGTTTATGGTTTCCTTTGCCATACAAAAGCTTTTAAGTTTCAGTAGGTCCCATGTGTTTATTTTTGTTTCTATTTTCATTACTCTAGGAGATGGGTCAAAAAAGATCTTTCTGTCAGAGTTATTATTTCAAAGAAGTAACTTTGGAATAGAAATTAAAGGTAATAAAATGCTGTGAAGGATGGCAAACACCACCACAGCATGTAGGGCACTGTTAATTTGAAGAGCGGACCAGAAAAAAAAATTGAAGATTGTGCTGTGAAAATACAAAACAGCATTAGAGAAAAATATACAGTCGTGATTACAGGTGTTTGTACTCGGAAACAAACCTTCCCTGTTTTATATTGTTATTTATATCTGGTTTACATTCAAAGGGACTTTATTCATGTACAGCTTGCCTGTATCTGTGTGTGTTTGTGTACATCTGTGTATTTTATTAAGTTTTTGTAATCTTTAACTAAATAATAAAATGTAACAATTCAGAAGAGTGGGACTAAAAGACATTCAGTTTGTTTTAAGAGTTACAGACATTGCCAGAGTTTATTTCTAAAGAAATATATTTAAATTTTTTTTGTTCTTTTTGCCTTTTCAACTGAGAGAAACACCCTGTATTGGGGGCTGTATGGAAATTGTTATGAAAAAGTCATTTTAGCCACACTGTATGACAGTATAGTTGCAGAAAGTTTAGAATCTGAATGCTGGGAAGAATTCCATGTTGATACCTTGGACAGGAACTAATTTTTTACTCATGTCTTCTGACTTCTGTGTCAGTGTTCTTTAAAACTCTGACCGTATTAATTACCGGATATACATATCCATTGATGAGTAGCACTGAGACTCTCTAACTGTTTGATGGATCTAGCACTGTTTGATTGCAATTCTAATTTGTGATTTTTTTCTCTTTTCGTAGATCCTGTTTGGATTCCTATTGTTGCTGCTTTAGTTCTCTTTCTTGTATTTGCTCTGGTAGTTGCATGTTGTATCTTTAAGAAGCTGAATCCAATTAAGCCAGAAGGCACCAAGTTACCCAAATCCTTGGTAGTATATTTAGTTATTTTTTCCTTTATTTATTTATAGTTGGCTCTTGAACAACATGGATTTGCACTGCACAGGGCCACGTCAGAATTTTTTTAGTGAATATATTGGAAATTTTTTTGGAGATTTTTGACAGTTTGAAAAAAACTCACCATATAGCCTAGAAGTATTGAAAAACTTAAGTGAAAAAAATGTATAAAATGCATGTAAATATAATACACAGGGTATGTGTTAATCAACCATTTATGTTATTGGTAGGTTCTGGCCAATAGCAGACTCTTAGTAGTTAAGTTTTTAGAGTCAAAAGTCACATGTAGATTTTCTGACTGCAAGAGAGGCTCAATGCGCCTCACCCTTGTATTGCTCAAGGGTGAACTGGACCCTAAAATGTTAATTTAAACCTTTTCGATAATTCTTTGAATTTGTTTTTTAAAGTAGAATAATGCTCAGCTGCTCACCTATCATAAATCACTCAATCTCCCACATACCCAAAACCACTTTTTTTTTTTTTTAACTATGCACCGGGTGCTTTTTTATGTGAGGGACAGAGGCATAGTTAGGCCTAAGTGTTCAGGAGCTTAAAGTCAAGTGGGAAAAAGATAAGGACTCAGTGGCTGTCCAGTGCGATCTGAGGTTCGAAGATCAAGGTTTATGTACATGCCAGTGAGGACTTGGTCCATCTTTGCGGGGTTGGGTTAGTCATGGCTTCTCCAGGGGCAGTGATAGCTAAGCAGTCTTGAGAGGCAGAGAGGAGTTCATCCAGGTACCGAGGGACAGTGGGTGCTAAGGCCCACTGTCAATAAGGTGTGGCTTTTGAAAACCTGTGAATACAGAAATGCTTCATGGTAATTGAAGTGTAGAAGGAAAGATGACCAACAGTGAGTCTAAACTAGAAGGTTGACATTTTAATGCCTAACATTTAAAAGTATGATGAAAAGAACATTCAAAGGTGTCAGAATGATATTAAGTCAAATATGACAGGAATCATACCTGTGATATGTAAAGGGCACGTTTAAATTTGTGATGGAAACACTGTCTTTAAGTAGAGGGGATAAGAACTGTCAACAGTCAGCAGACAATTCACATGTGAGTTGCTAACTGCTAGTGGTTAAACACAAATGAAGCTTGCAGTATGCTATTTTCCACCTACTAGAGAAGGAAAAATAAACCTGAATATCCATTAGTCCCTTGTAATAAAAGTAGTGTATGCTGGCAAAAAAAGAAATTTTAGCCCTGAGGAGTTGATAAGTATGCAGTGAGTGTACAAAGTAGCAGCATCCTAAGCATGCCACACTCTAAAAATTAATCCTTAAAAAGACAGTTTCATAAATAAAAAGATGTATAAAAATATTAACTTCAGCATGTTCTGTAAATGGTAAAAATTCGAACACCTTAACACTTAGTATTAGATAAATGATTTCATCATCAGTATAAAATTATTGACCCTTTGAAAATTAGACTATAAAGACAAATGGCGAAACATTACATAGAATAAGTAATTGGACTCTTATAACAAATGTAATGTGCGTGCTTGTCGAAGGTAGCACACAGAAAGCAACATGTTGGTGAGACAGTGACTTTCTAAAAACTTGTTTTTAATCTTAATGGTGTTTCCATTAAAAAGAAAGAAAAGGCAATTATCAGACTCTATTCCACTGTTATCCTAAATATGCCAATGAGTGATACATTTAGTTACCCTCTACCCGTTTTAGACCTTTTTTTTTTTTTTTTGAGGATAAGCACTTAACTTTAATAATTTATTATTTTTAATCACTGATTTCTCTTCCCTTAGCTGTCTGTGGTGAAAAATGCCTCTTCAGAGGCAAAATTTGATTCAAAAGTTATATCACCCATCACCTACCAGCCAATCACCGTAGTAAATGAGCAGCTGTCCCCAGGGACCATTTCAAGCGTGCACACTGAGGACATTCCCGGAAAAGTGGACCATGGAGACCTTTCTAGTGAAGTGGAAGTGGTGACCATTGAGGAAAATATTTCTGACTTGGTCCCATGTAGTCCTCTGACCCGAGAGAGAGAGGATTCTACCCACGCAAACAGCAGCCAGTCTGAGACCTGCAGCATCACTCTGAATGCGTATCACTCCAGAAACGGCTCTGATAGTGGCCTGGTGGTGTCGGACAACTGCTCCAGCTCAGAATTTCCCCCAAGTAATAAAACTGAAGTAAAGACTGAAGGACAAGACTTCATAACTCTGAGAAACACCACCACCTCCTTTGGTTATGATAAACCACATGTGTTAGTGGACCTGCTTGTGGATGAAGGTGGTAAAGAGTCCTTGATTGGTTATAGACTTACAGCAGACTCCAGAGAGTTTTCATGAGATCAACCAAGGTCACAAACTGGGAAGGATCTGCTTTTCCTGAGGAGCTTTTCCACTTATATTCCGTGAACAGATCCATGATTTCAGAAATTGCGTCGTCTTGATAGAAATCAGATGGAGTGTCATGGTTTAGATAAAAGTGTAAAGAGCCTGTTTGGACTTGTCACTTTTGGTCTGAAAACTGCAGTCTCTTTAAAAAAAGAAAAAGGCATTGTCACATGTGAACCTTTGCGTCTACATGTTAATAGTAAACATAACCCTGCTTCCTATAGGTGTTAACTCCAGGGTCCTTTCTAACCACTTTAGGAGATGATAAGAATTGTTTTCCTTTTTGTGTCTCAGCATGGTATTTGTTTTTGGAAGTCTATGTATATACTTTCAGGAGAAAAATGCACTTAAAATTGCATTGAAATCAGTAGTATTAAATAGAATGTATAAGTAAAAACATGTATGTATATTTTTATGAAATGTTATAGGGATTTTTTTAATAACTTTTTAAATAACTTTAAAATTCATTTTTGTTTTCATTTATTCTGGGATGTGTTTTATTCATTTGCTTGTTTCTATCCATTAATATTATAGAATCATTTTCTAATTATTCATATCTTTAAAACCATCCTAAAAATAGCCTAATCTTTAAAAATGGTCCTTTTGTATCTATATCTTAATATTTAGCAGTCAGTGTGCAGAACACGCACAAGGAAAACCAAAAGTTTATATTACACAGAAGTTTGGGGAATTGCTAAGAGGGTAGGAATTTTAGGACTCAAATTAATTAACTCACCCCCAAAAATGTTAAATGCAAATTACATGAGTAAGTTAACAAGCCATGGAAAAAGCATATTTCTTCTCACCTGAAAGTGCAAATTAGGTTGTGGAGGGCTCCCTGCCTCACCCAGCGCAGGCCTCTGCTCATGAGTCACCTGCTCAGGCAGACCCTCCCCACCTCCACTGGCGACAGCACCTTGCTGCCAAGCTCTCACCCTGCCCCCTGCTGATCCTTGCCTGAGAAAGCAAGTCATGTGTCTGCCTCCACATGTAGATGCTGTCAGCTCTCTTGAGAGGAAGAATTTTCTAATCCCCTGTAATATTTCCAGAATTTAGTGTTGTAGCCACGTGTTCTGGGAAACAAACTCACTCAGAAGGACAATGCAGTTAGTGAAGTGCAGTTTATTACACCAGCAGGCCCAAGGCACGGTCTCCTCTTAGCCAAGGACCCCGACCAGCATTTGTGAAAATCTTTTATACCCCATGTGTACGTGTCTGAACCCACCACCCCAAATTCCTTGAGAGTTACATAAACTAAGGAAGGGTAAATAAAATCCCATTAATCCCATCACTCATGTGCCATGTGCTCAGTTAAACAATTAGCCGATAATCAATAAGCCCAAGGTTACACTCCAATAGGTACAGAAAAATTTATGGCCTGTCTGGAGGAAGGGGTGATTAGTGTATGTGTTCTCTTAGGCTATGAGTAACCTGGATACGATCTTCAAGGTTCCCCTGTCTGGAGGGAGACTTACCCTTCTATTGTCATTTCCATAGACACTAAACCCAGAGTTCAGAGTCCACTGGAGAGGTGGCCAAGCATGATCAGCATGGACAGGCCTAAGATGGAGTCCAGGCCCTATGAATTCCTTCTTCATTAGGACAGTGCCTGCAAGTGTTACTGAACACAGCAAGTGTTCAGTAAATACTTGTTGATGAAATGGGTTGTCTACACAATCACTTCTATTTGGCTTATGATTATGTCCATGTCAGTTTTACTCCTTTTGCAGCAAAATGTGTGTGTGTATAGAGAAGTGGTCTGCTTTTGTGATTCCAGAAAAATCTGAAAACTTTTGTAAAATCACAAATTCTTGCAAGCAAGAACTGAGTCAAAATCTGGAATAAACGTGGGATTAAAGTCATGATAAGCTAGACACGTTACAAAACTCCTTTTTTCATATAATTTTATTTATTTTTGGCTGTGCTGCATCTTTGCTGCTGTACTCAGGCTTTATCTAGTTGAGGTGAGCAGGGGTTACTCTTTATTGCAGTGTTGCTCATTGCTCTGGCTTCTCTTGTGGAGCCTGGGCTCTAGGCGTGCAGGTCTCAGTATTTGTGGCATACAGGCACAGTAGTTGCAGCACTCGAGCTCTAGAGCTTGGGCTCAGTAGTTGTGGTGCATCAACTTTGTTGCTGCATAGCAAGTAGGATCTTCCCAGACCAGGGATCGAACCCATGTACCCTGCGTTAGCAGTTGGATTCTTATCCACTGCGCCACCAGGGAAGTCTCATACTTTTTAAGAGAACCAATTTCCATGTTTCATAACAGGGAACCAAACTTGGTGAACTGATTTTACCTCAACAATTCCACCTGTGTTGTGCCAGCTATAGAACTGTTCCTTTCCATCATTCCCAGTGTCTTGCAGGGCTATGTGGAACAAGATATGCCTCCCTCTCTAGATCTGTAGGGATCCTTTGTTTCACCCAGCGGGAATCCCCCTTGACTCCTGTCTGAATGTTTGGAAAAGTGCAACAGCTATCTCAACTCCCCCAGCCTGCAGGAAGGACTGACATTTATCAAGTCTCTGCTCTAAGCAGATGTCTGGCAAATTTCTTACTGATCCCCAAGTGACCTGATGAGGAAAGTATTCTATATTTCTTCCAAGTAAAGAAACTGGGGCACAGGTAAGTTGCTAAAAGTTGTTAGGTAAACTAGAAATCACGGAGGTGTATCTTGGGAACACAGCACAGTAGGCACTCAGAAGCCAATAAAACCTGGAGGACAGCAGGACTGGGACCTATGCAGCTGGGAGTGCAGGTGGGTTGCAGCTCAGAGGTGAAGGAGTCAGCCAAGTCCTGGAATGTGGAAGCCAGGAGCCCAGCGTGACCCTGGGCCGGAACCTCTGCGGGAGCCTCTTGAGCTGAGGAAAGGACAAGTTGTCAGGGAAAGGCAGATCACCTCTGCAGTATGAGAAGGGACCCCGACTTTGGGGAATATAGGACACTTAAAAAGTCCAGAGACCCCAGACGTCAAAAATTAGTGCTCTGGGTTTTTCTGGGCATTTGGTGGAAGGGGATTAAAAAATAGCATCCTCCAGGCCTTTGAGCAGCTGGTTGGGGACTACACTGGTGAATGAAGCTCAGAGAAACTCATTTTGAGAGACTCAAACTCAAGTATCACTTGTCTCCAAAGTCCAGGATTTTCCTGTTGTGGTCTGATGTCTCTAGCTTCCTATTATTAAAAAACAAAGGGGTAGGGGGAACACTAAACCTTCCACTTGTCTTTGAATATGTGTTATTCTTTGACAACTGGCACCTACCCCCAGAAACAGCCTTTGATGAAGCTGGAAGTATACTGGCATAAGTTACTTACGGTGGTTACTCACAATGCTGTCATAAAATAGTACATGAAGTCATTATTTTAAAATGGGAGAGGTCCTTTGCTTACTCTGAGGTTCATGAGGATTTTAAAATTTTGTTAAGAAACTCAATGTCCTTCTTGTTGGATTGTCTGGCCATGTTTTATCTTTGTTCATGAATAATAAATTAAGACTGATCTGTTTCTCTGCTCTTCAACTCCTCCCAGAAAGCAAAGCAATAAGAAAGGGGGTTTCCAAGTTGCAAATGGTTGCCAAAATCAGCTCCTTTCTTCCCTGGGAATCATGAAAAAGCAACAATGAGAATTCAAAAAGTTTCCCCACTTGGAAAGTTTATTTTTAATTCTCTTTAAAAACTCTTGGATCAGAAAAAGTAATCCCAAGTTACAGAATTGTTAAAAATAAAGGGGAAAAAATCACATTTCAGAAGCAAAGGGAGAGCCTGCGGGATACATTCCAGAATAAATTCCTAGTGTAAATATTTGTATTGCTGTCAAATAAAGAACAAAGCAAATGAAATAAACATCTGATACACAGAATTTTTCTTAAAAAGAACAACAAGTTATATAGAAAAAAAGAAAAGAACTTTGAAAGGTAAAAGGGGAGATACGAATGAGACATGAAATTTTCAAAAGCTGAATATATATAACGAATCACAAAGTCTGGTTCCTTGAAAAGTGGTAAAGATAAATAACTAGCTTACTTAACTAAAAATAAGAAAACAAGGGAGAAAATATCACTACTCAGAATAGGAAATTATAAAAAGGAAACTGCAGAAACAGGGGAAATTGTATGCGTCATAAGGGAATAATTGGCTCAACTCTCTGCAAATACATTTAAAAGCATGAATGAAGTAGAGACTGACTGTTCTAAAGAAATACAATTTGTAGAAACTAAACCTCGGAGACATAGAATCTAAACAGACTAATGATCATGCGAGAATTATAATAAGAAAATTGCCAAAGAAATGCTACCCCCAAGATCCCCCAAGTTCCATCCAGGAAAGCACCCAGATGATTTCTCAGGGAAATCTCTCCAACCCTCAAGAAGCAAATAGTTCTCAGGTCACATAGATTAATCTGTCCAGCTGCATAGCCGTATAACATGGTGAAGGTCATTGTCTCCTCTGTGTGTCTGACTGAACCACAGTGACCCCAGGCATCAGAGAATCTCAGCCCTCTCCCACCAAGACCATAAAAAGCAAAGAGTTAGTCGCTCAGTCATGTCTGACTCTGCAACCCCGTGGACTGTAGCCCATCAGGCTTCTCTGTCCATGGGATTTCTTCAGGCAAGAATACTGGAGTGGGTTGCCATGCCCTTCTCCAGGGGAACTTCCCCACCCAGTGATCGAATCCAGTCTCCTGCATTGCAGGTAGATTATTGTCTAAGCCATCAGGAAAGCCCCCCAAAACAAAGAAACATCTTATTCCTTTAACTTCAATCTTGCAAATTCATGAAAACTGCTATATCACTTCCTTTCACTGATTCACTAGATATGTATTCTGTGTTTACTCTATGCCAGGCATCCTTCCCAAGGGAAGCAGCAAATAAAACATACAATTTTCCTGACCTCATGGAGTTTATATTCTAGTGGAGGAGACAGACAGCAAGAATACGATAACACAGCCCATTAAATGAAAGTGTGATGGAGAAAAATGAAGCAGATGAAGTGCTGCCATGGTGAGTGGTCACAGAGGGATTCACTGATAAGGTAATACCTAAGTTAAGATATGAAGGAGGTGAGGGAGTGAGCCTGGACATCTCAGGAAGAGCATTCAGGCAGAAGGGACAGCTAGTAAAAATAAGCCCTAGTGGAGGATGTGCCTGATGTATTTGACGAACAGCAAAAAAGGCCACCAGGGCCAGAGTGCTTGGGGTTAGGAGGAGAGTTATAGCAGATGAATTCAGAATCTAGCAGGGCCAGATTACACAGAGCTTCAGAGGTGACCATCAAAATTTTGATTTTTATTCTGAGAGGCATGGGGAGACATGGGAGGATTCTGAGCAATGGCTCTGATCTGACATTTCAGAGAAACAATCTGCCTGATGCAGAGGACAGTGACAGAGGCAGGGAGAATGGCAAGGAGACAGTCAGCCTCAACCTGGGCAGGAGATGATGGCGGCAGAGACATACGTGGTTGGATCAAGGGGGTGATCTGGCTATGCCAAAAATCCTTTCAGCGTTGCAACAAGGTACAGGCATATGCTAGTGCTTGAGTATCATGATTGATGACACCCAATAGAGTTTTTGAGGTCAGTGAAAGAACTTGGTCAAGAACAATCGAAGCAAAATCAGTAGCATCTTTTATCCAAACAATATGAGTGAAGAGCAGAAAATGAAGCCCTAAGTCCTATGAATGGAGACTGAGAATAATGTGTTAGTGTACAAAGTTCAAAAATAAAATTAAACTTGATCAAATTGGTCATTGTGCTTATTGCCTGTATTTGAACAATACAGTTCCTTTTTTACTGAGTTCAAGTCCATAAACTATTTTAAAATGCATGCCAGCTATTTCCAGAATGCAGAAGTACTTAAAGGTCATGGTTATTACTCAGCGGAGTTATCGAGGGCCCATTGGATAAGAAAGAACAGTTTCCCAGTTAAGGGTACTAAAGGCATGTGGTTCTCTGTAGGTTGAGAAGAGTGAGTGTTCGAGATGTAATTCATGATAGAAGTTTAAAAGATGTCCTGCTGCTTACCAAGTCATAGAATGAGGGAAAGGACATGAAGCAGAAACCCAATCCATCCGACCCCCTTGGATAAACCCACTGAAATAGTGCAGAATGGCAGTTTTTAAACACCTTTCTGAAGATAATAAGAAACATATAGCCCTTCATTACCAGGAAGCACTGGCGATGATGACCCTGGCTCCCTGTGGACTGACTCTGCTGGCTCGTTCAGTACCGCATGGCTAGTCGGGTGCCTGGCACACAGCATACTCAGTAAAGGTTTGTTTGAGTGAATAAACAAAGGAACAAATGGCTGAATCTTCTTTGACATCATTCAATCCCTTTATGGAATCAACATTACAAGAAGAAAGCAACTTCCGATTTTTACAAGCCTCAGACCCTGAGGGTAGGCAGACCTGGCTTCACTGCTCATGTGATACTGCATGCTATCGCATGGTCAGCTTCTCTTGCCTCTCAGCATCTGTTTCCTCATCTGCAAAATCAGGATAATAATGCCAAACTCCTGGGCTTATTGTGAGGATTAACTAAAGTAATGTTCAAAGAGGATCCAACATACTGCCTCAGAGTTGTTAGATACTATTATTGTCACTAAAATGGCATTACAATTACTATAAGAAATTTTACAGAGATGACATCTTGTAGATAAACTTAAAATTTTTTTCTTTTGTTACAAATTATTTCAAACATATATGAAAGTACAGAGTATAATGAACTGCCTTGTACCCAGTACCTAGTTTCAATAGTTATCAGCTCATCACTGGTCATCCCCCTTCCCCAACCGCTTGAATTATTTGAAGCAAATCCCAGACATTATGTCATGTCATCTGTGACACTTCAATACGTATTTCTAAAAAAATAATAACTAAAATCCCGTATCACTCTTAAAAATAATGAATAAAGATTCCTTAATTTGATGAATTGTTGGTCGGCTGGAAGACACAGGTGAAAAGAGAATCAGGTCTGTCCAAGGCAGGGCTTTAGGCAAGTTCTCTCCAGATCCAACACGGTAGAGGCATCCACGGTCACTGTCAAGGTGGTCTCTTCCTGCTAAGGGGCTGGTGGCTGGGAGTTGGGGATTTGGGAGGGGAGGGAATAAGTTTGAAGCCAGCATTTCATGCCTGAAGCCAAGTAAAGCAGGGGTCTCCCATTGTCTGTAAGTTTCTTACTTCCCAAAGCAAATCTCATTTGATTTGAAATAATTCTGTACAAATTCCTCTGCTTTCAAATTGGTGGGATTTTAATTGTATCTTTTCATTAACTTGAGGCATAGTTGGCAGTGTCGGCTTTTATGCAGACTGTGATTTCAGACAATCAGACAGCTCATCTAAGGGTGACAAGATGAGCTCCGTTTCTGAAATTTAATGTAGCACAGACACTCACACATATTTGAGAGAATTTGGTTCTTAGTATATTCTCTGCTCTCTTCCAACCTTCTCCCCCACATTTTCCCCTTATTTGTTCCTACAAAAAGTCACTCTAATGGAAACCCCAATTTCCTTCTCTGCTTCTCTACTTATTAAACCTTGAATTAGTTTCTTTTTTTGTCTTAACTGGAAGTTGGAGCAATTTGGTTGCTCTAAAACCTGAGTTATTGGCATTAAAGATATTGAACATCAATGGTTCAAACCTAAATGATTATTCCCCACTTGAAACCAAGGTGAATAAGAAGTCTAGCGTTCAGTGGTGAATCATGAGCAAGGAAATGAGAGATGATGCTGAAAACGCTGAGGGACAAAGATCCCTCAGAAAGTATTCATACAAAGGGCACCTGAGGTAGGCTGCTCTTTCTTCCTTGAAAGCCTAAGTCAACTTAGAAGCAGTGGAAACTTCACCTGGAGGAGATAAGGAGTTTGGATTCAGAAGTCTGACCACCACCCCCAGAAAGTGCTGGAAAACCCAGCATTGTCTCCACAAAGCCCCCCATCCTGCCTAGGGAATGTGCATTCTTCCCCCGTTAAAACTCATCTTCGGGTAAGTAGGGACAAGGTCTATGTTATTTGCTGCTGCATCCTTGATGCTGAGAACAATGCCTATCTCATGGTAGGGCAGAAACTATGTTATTGAGTCAAGTATTTACTTACTTATTACTTAAATAATTATTAATTAATGGATACTGCTCAGCAGCCATCACTATTCCCGACTAAAGGGGTTATTCTACCAAGAGCTTGAAAGTTCAGCTACCCAAGAGGAAAAAGAGATCCGCATGTATTTCTTCTTTTACCCCAAAAGCCTCTTTTAAAAAGTCTTTGAGTTTCTTGTGCTTTAATGTATAATCTTCGTGTTGCTAAAAACATGTGGTAAAAAAAAAAAAAGTTTGGTAAGAGAACTGATGTAGTGAATCATGGGCAAAGAACAGATGACCTAGTTTGATTAGATTTCCAAGAAGATACGGTGAAGATTTAACATAGTTCAAAATGATTGTCCTTGGTCTTCATCCTTTTAAGGATTTACTTGGTTTGTCGGGCTCAAAATCTTTATCAGCTGGGTTGCTGGAAACGGAGAGTGCAGATGGAAAAGAGGGAGGCAGGAGCTGCTTGGGGGCCAGGGTGCCATGGCCTGGGACGGCCGCAGAGGGTGGGAGGGAGCCCTGCAGAGAGGCCAAGCCGGCAGAGGGTATGAGGTCTACACCTGGGAGGCTACTCAAGGAGTTCCCATGAAGGGAGGAAAAGGAAAAACTAGCCAGAGACCCTACCTGCTTGAACCACCGCCAGGGGCCCTGATCACTGCAACTGCCAAGCGCGTTACTCAGAATCACTGGCGGCCCCTCTGCCCCCTCTGCCGGATGCCTTTCAGGCCTCCTCCACTCACCTTCGAGAACCTTGCATAATTCCCCACCCTGCCTGCCCTCCGGCCCACCAACCCTCACTGTTCTGCCATTTCTCAGCTAGCAAAGCTCCCAGGAAAAACAAGCTTCCACATTAAAGTGACTTAACTGACAATATTTTTGAAATGATTCTTAATACTTATTCCTCTCAAATTATAATACACGAACAGGATGGAATCGTCTTTACTTCAAGAAGCATGGTTAAAACCAAAAGGGGATCTTTGAGCGAGAGGATTCTGGTTTCCTCTCTTGTCCAGAGCTGTCGTCTCATTGAGGTGAACGCTGGCCACCCAGCCAGTCACACTCGCAACCATGACGCCGAAATGTTGCTTTCTAGGCTTCCTCTTCAGTGTCCTCCTGCCTGGAGTGGTAGGTAAGTGCTTCCTTTAGTCCTAATTTCTCACAGCCTTGTCATCAGAGTCTGCTCCAGGGGGCCGTTAGACATGGCAGGGGCACTTTTCCAGGCTCTGTAAAAATTTCAGCTCTCTCCTGTCACAAATCGGTCAGAACAGACACGGGGTAAGTTTCTCATTGTGTGAAGTCGCTTCAGTCGTGTCTGACTCTTTGTGACCCTGTGGACTGTAGCCCCACAGACTCCTCTGTCCACGGGGATTCTCCAGGCGAGAATATTGGAGTGGGTTGCCACTCCCTCCTCCAGGGGGTCTTCCTGACCCAGGGAGCAAACCCACGTCTCTTGCGTCTCCCGTGTTGGCAGGCAGGTTCTTTGCCACTAGCACCCCCTGGGAAGCCCACAGTTTCCCTCTATAGTCTGAATAAATACATGCAGACTTCATGAGTAACTACTAAAGAGGAGGCACTCTAGTGGGTTCAAAAAACTCCACACAGGACAAATACACACCCTTCTCTGTCTCCTTAGCATTTCTTTCAACTTCAAGGGACAAGCAGCACTCCTAAACCAGAATGCCTGTCTCTTTATTATCTAGAAAAACTGGGCTGATTGGCTTAAACCTCCTCTGCCTTGATTATTCCATCTGTAGAATGGGGATTGTAGGTCACTGTAAGGATTAAATGAGTTAATAATATATGCCAAGTGTTTAGCACAGTGCCTAGCATAGGATAGATCACAAATAACATGTGAGAATTTGCTGTTGGCATTCATGGAGAATTCTTCAAAAGCAGAGAGCATCTTGTCACCCCAGCTTACCTCTGAGCAAAACCAAGAGGGCCCCCAGTTAACAGATGTGTACCTTTCAGTATAAGTGGCTCAACTAAATTTCCCAGCATTTTACATTTGCCCAGTAACGGATAATTTAAACACAACTCAAGCCTCCATTTCCCAGAAATGGGTGGATTTGAGTAGACTACGCCTTTGATCTTTGGTCATACCAAGGATTCAATTAAAAGAATAAGACAGGAATTCCAGTGCCACCAAAATGACCTTGGTGCTGCATCTTACCAACCTTAGGCAAATCACACAACTTCTTTAGATGTCAGTTTTCTCACCTGTAAAACGTACTAATAAAAGTACCTATCTTATTGGGTGGTTGTAAGAATGACAAAAGAGATAAAGCTTTGCGCACAGTGCCTGATAGATGTTTAATGTTCAAAATAGGTTTAAATATGAATGCCAGCCAGGAAGAGGAGGAAGAGGGCAAAAAGGAGTAATATCTTTGACTTCTCACTGTTCTGCTTCCTCCATCAACCCCTGTCCCCCCAGGCTTTGCTCGTGGTTTGCTGTAGCCACTGTGAGGCAGGCTCTGGAGCCAGACAGCCTGGGTACGAAATCAGCCTCACTGTCTGCCACTTCGTCAGCTCTTTTACTCCCCAAGACTTGGATTTTGGTCTGTAAGAGAAAGACCATAATATTATCCTTTTCATAGGTGAACTGGGCAGATTCAATGAGTTCTTACAGGTAAAAGACCTGCGGTGTTTTGCACAGAGGGCTTGTTATTTTCTTTGATGGTGCTTACCAACGGTGCTACAAAAATGAGAGAAGAAGCCTGAAGACAGACGAGATTAAGGACACTGGACCATTTGTCCTCAGGATAGCAGATCAACTGTAGGCAGGATCTTTAGGAAACTGTGCCTATCACTTCCTATCAACTCCTGAAAACTGTCCAAGTTTTTATGTGCTAAATATGATTGATGATAGTGACTTGCATGAGCAAAACAAATCATGGCATTTGACTCTTTCCAAGTGATATGTTCTTGTATTTTGAACTAAAGGAAGTCCAAAAAAGTGAAAAATAAGCAAAAACCAAATAACAGCATTGACATTGTTTGGTTGGTAAAAGTAAATACCTAAGAAAACAGCCTCATTCCTTAGAGAATAACACACGTTTTATGTATTTGTTTACTTTTGGCTGTGCTGGGTCTTCCTCGCTGCTTGCAGGCTCTCTCTAGTTGCGGTGAGCAGGGGCGGCTGTCTAGCTGCAGTACGTGGGCCTCTCATTGTGACGGCTCCTTTGTCGAGGGGCAGAGGGTCTAGGGTATACGGGCTGAGCAGTTGTGTGCACGGGCTTCGTTGCCTCACAGCATGTGGGATCGTCCCAGGCCAGGGATCAAACCTGTGTCCCCTGCATTGGCTGGGGGATTCTTAACCACTGGACCGCCAGGGAAGCCCCGAGAATAACAAATTTCGAAAGTTCAGAGCAGAGATCATAGGCTTTGGAATATTCACTTCCTTCTGAATGATATTTGAGCAAAGACTTGAAGGGGTGAAGAAATGAGGCATGTGGAAATCCAGAGAAGAGTATTCGAGGAAAATGAAAGGGCCAACACGGAGACCTCAGATGGAGCCATGCCCGGCATGGTGGAGCAGGCGAAAGGAGGACACTCTGGAGAAGCCAGGGGGCAAGTGATAAAAAATGAGGAAAAGACAGGTGGGGGAGACATGCTTCCTGACTCCTGCTTCTGCCTGTCTCCTATCCTTCAGCAGAAACATTGGGCCTGTCAGGAAAGCAAACTTTAATTCTGCCTCTTTTAGGTTTCCAGCTGGGACTCCCCTTTTTTTTTTTTTGCTTACACAATGTTACATGACAAATTTATTCAGTCAAAAAGTCAACTAGGACTCTAGCCAAAAGATTAATAAAAGAAAAACAGTTTATTAATGTATACATAGCACACCACTAGTGGGGAACTTAAATGAAGAGGAACTTAAAATGGTGTCTTAAAATCCCAGCTTCTGCAGCATCTTCAACAAAGAATGATATACCTGTGGAAACAGGACAGGACAAAGGAGAACAGTTCTAGGCTTCGAAAGGTGGCAATCTGTGGGGAAGTAAATGCACGGGAGGAAACCAATGGAGCAAGCTTCATTTGCAGATTCTTCTAGTGTTTTCTTTCGGTTGGTAAGAGTCAGTCTCCAGTAAAAGTAAAAGAAGAATTTATATGCCAACTTCCTTGGTGGCTCAGAGAGTAAAGAATCTGCCTGTAATGCAGGAGACCTGGGTTCACTCCTGGGTTGGGGAGATCCCCTGCATGAGGGCACGGCTACCCATTCCAGTATTCTTGCCTGGAGAATTCCATGGACAAAGGATCCTGGCAGGCTATAGTCAGGTGTCACAAAGAGTTGGACATGACTGAGCAACAGCATAGCATAGCATTTAGGCAGAAAAGGGGGGATCAGGAGAGCTTTTACTGCATTTGCTGTTTCTCAATTGCCTTCAGCTCAAAATAGTTTTCATGTCAAAGAGACATTTCTGGGGGTGATATATTCTGGTTTCCTTCAGATTCCAGAAAAAAAAAAATTGTCAAAGATCTTTTATCTCCAGCAGACTAAAGGCTGGTGAGACTGAGCTCTCACATCCCATGAATTGAGCAAGAAAGCACAAACTATGCCAGTGTGACATTATGCCCATTCCTGTCATGACCCCTGATGAGACTCCCCTCAGGGAATTTCCTGGCACAAGCAGTCTCCCTCCATAGCCTGGACCAGTCACCTGAGCAATTGTGCTCGGGCACTTGGAGCCAGGATGCAGGCAGCCAAGAGGACCTACTCAGGAGTAGAACCAACCTACATGGAATAAAGCCAGGTCAACCAGAGAGGCAGAGGACAATGCGGCAGGACCTGGAGATGTAGGAAGAACCAGAGAAAGGAGGAATGAGTGCTAGGGTGAGGTCCTGGAGGCAGAACTGATCCCAGGCGAAAGCTTGAGGAGTGGCAATACAAGGCCTCCTAGGAAGATGAGCATCTCAGTCATTATATTTCATCACCACCAGGGACAGATCAAAAGACAGTGTCTTCTCACTGCTGTTACTTCCTCTCCAGTTTAGGAGTGATGTGGGAGATTATCACATATGTTTTTACAGTCTGGATCACAACTGTTTTGAGACTTTAGCACGCATCAAAATCCATCACATCAAAGATCCAAAATGTGGATTTCTGGGCTCCACTTTCTACCACCTGCTCTTATAGCAACTATCCAAAGAATCCCAATGGAGATATTACTACACTGAAAGTTATGGCTAATGACAATGGTGCATGTATCAATGTTCAGTTTTGTCTCTCTGCTTATTATTTTAGAAACTCAGCCAGCCAACGAGTCTCTGAAACCTCAACGAGTCCATTTTCAATCCCGAAATTTTCACAACATTTTGCACTGGAAGCCTGGGCAGGCTTGTCTTGGGAACAACAGTGTCTATTTTGTGCAGTATAAAATGTAAGTAACCTGAGTCTCCTCCAGCTAGCAGATGGCTGCTGAGATTCCATGTCCTAGAATGCGATGGCGTGTCAGGGTCTGAGCTTTTGTCAGTTTCAGAAGCATTGAGAAGAAGCAGAGATGGGGGCAAGAAGGTGACACAAAATGCCTGATGATGTGCAGTCTGTGGAGGGAGGTACTTCATCCCTGGGAGACCCCACTGAGGCCTCATGGGCTCAGCCTTCAACTTCACAATAGACTCTTACTGCACATTTGTCCACCGAGTGCTATAAGAGATTTGTTTAGCATATAATAAGTACTCAATCTCAATTAAACTGACGCTATTGATAGTTGAAAAAGAAGTTGTTGGACACGTGCAAGTGGGTGTGTAAAGTATATTTTCAATTAAAAGTCTTTTTAAATTTAGAGTGAGTTTGCTATTTAGAAAAGTCCTTTTAAAACTGAATGGCTCCTGTGAGCATGGACGCAAATTGGAACACACCATGGCCTGTTCCTCCTGCATGATCTTCAGGCTAATTCTGATGGATCAGTGCAAAAACTCAGATATAATCTACTCCTTTCCAGGATCGAGGCCTGGGACCCGAAGTTTCTGATTTGCAGATGGCAGATTTTCCCCTTCGCACATCTTGCTCTGGGCAGGGTGGGGCGGTGGAGTACAAGGTGGGAGTTGATGCTCTTGCTTCTCTTTCATAGATTGAGATGCTAGTTGAACATGAGGCAGGCAATATTACTGTTAAGCTTTTATGGTTTTCTATTAGAAATCCAGAAGATCAGATGCAGCTATGGACCAAAATGGCAGTTTTTGTGCCATAAATTCATTCCTGTCTCTCTAGCATGGGATAGATTCAGGTCAAATTTTTCCATTAATCAATCTCTCTAACTTCAGAAGGACTATCTCCAAAAGTCTCTCAGGCTTGGTGGCTTTTTTCAACATGTTTTGTGGAGCAGTTATAAACTTTATGAATCTTTATGATAAAAATTTCTCCACTTCTAAAATAGACTTGTGCATCTATTTTGGAAATGCTCCTTGCATATAAGAAGTGGGGATCAATGATCTTTTTATTCTTCCCCTTTAGGCAGTGTAAACGTTCAAAATGAGCCTATTTGTGGTTCAGTATGAACAGTGGATTAGAAGTTGTTTTACCATGAAATTAATGAAGATTAGACTTTAGGGCCCAATGGAAGAATTTCATAGTTCTAATTCTTTTTCTTAAATAGAGCTCCCAGACTTGTATAAAATTCAGAATATCTGGATCCCTTCCTACCCATGTGGTATTTTCAGTAGCACGGTGCAGATTTATATTTTTGAAATTTTTTGCTTTGGGTCTATCCTGTTCTCATGGATATACTGTTAGTATCTATCCCCTTTGGAATAGGACAAAAAATAAGGTATTACACCAAAAAAAGAAGCCAGTCATTACAGCTAAATTTAGCTAGTAAAGACAATGTCTCATCAATAAATAAGAGTTAGAAAACATTAAATTGTGTTCAATATACGTTATTGGTTCTGCCCATATGGTATCTTTTGATATAATGAAACTATTGTCAACATATAGTTTGCAGACTACAAATACCAGCAATGTTCCTCTTTATATGACTATAGAATTATATTTCAAGTCCTTCAACAAATTCTTTGCGGGCTTTTCTACCCAGCATCTAATCCCTCCTCTGTTCCCACCATCACCTTATTGCGTTTTCTCTCATCTGTGAGTGGTAATCTTCCCTTTTGCTGTTACACCATCCCAGAGTGTTAGGCTGAATCACTGTATCTGGCTTTTTGACTCATTATCTTCTCTTCTTGGGTTCTCCTCCCTCCCTCCCAGCCTCTAATTGCAAAACTCCTTAGCTAACCCTCACTACCACCCCTGCTCAGTTGTCAAAAAAGAGATTGACCGTAGGTGTTGGGTAAACATCACCTGAGATGAAAAGTGGTAGCGACTTCTCAGAACCAGCCGCGTTACTCAACAGCAGGCTGATGAGAAGTGAGGAAAACCACAAAGCGCTGAAACCTCAGGAGCCTGAAGGACGTAGTCAAAAATGGAAGTTGGTTAGACACCAGCAGAAAAGCTTCCTTAGGTACTAAAAATCCAAAAACCGTTATGCTAGGGATACAGAAGGTTATCAGGCTTGAATTGATCTTTCAACAAGATAGCACTTCGATTAACGAAAAGAAAAATAATTTTAAAGAGACTTAAGAGCAACTGTCAACCTTCACAGGGGTGCTGATATTGGAGGATAAATGCCAACCAGTCTGAAAACTGAATAGACTGGAAAAAAAAAAAACAACTGAAGACCCCTCCAGTGGAATAAAGGAACTCGGATTTCTGTCTTTTTCTGTCTCTAGGTATGGAGAGAGACAGTGGAAAAATAAAGAGAACTGCTGGGGAATTCAAGAGTTCTTCTGTGACCTTACCAATGAAACGTCAGATATATGGGAACCTTATTATGGGAGAGTGAGGACAACTCTGGCTGGGATCCACTCAGGCTGGACCATGACACAGCGGTTCACTCCATGGTGGGAAAGTGAGTTCCACTGCATTTCTTTGCATTTGCTTTCCCTGACCTTGAATAGCCCTCATGGAGCCTGGCTAGCTAGCTACCAGGCCCTGGGCTTTGCTGAGGTGCACACCATCATCTCATTTGATCTCATTCTCAGAACAACTCTAGCAGATGGGTTTTACTGTTCTCATTTACAGTCCAGAAAATCAAGGGACAGAGTCTTTGGAAGTAGCCCAGGCCTCGCAGCTTGTATAAGCCAAGTTGGGATTCAAAATGGACTGCATCTGATTACAGAGCTGACACTCCATCCTACTGCCAGGATGTTGCTGCCTAGAAAAAAAAGTATTTCTATATAGCAGAAAGGATTCATATTGCCCTTCCTAAGCATGAGGGTTACGTTCTTGAAAATACACATTAGGCAATTTTTCTATTGAGAAAATTAAGGCTTTTAGTTACCTCTCCAAAACAGGAGACCCAAAATGCTCTCTTGTATCCAGTTCTCAATAATGTTTGTTCTCCTTCTAATTTAGTCATAATCTCAGCATAATGTATTATAACTTATGATGAAAATTATTTAAAAAAACTAACAGACCTCATATAAAATAGTAGACAAAATGTATGAGAAAAATGTGTCTAAAGTATATGTACCAAGATATGCATAACAAAACAAGAACAAAAATATGGATATTATAGTCCTTACAATGCAACTAGTCATGAAGCTGCAGTTAGTATTTACATCTTTTCCTCTCATGATTAACTCAACATTTGCTTTCATTTCAGTCAGCACCTTAGCCTTTCATTTTTCAGGAATTTGTGTCCTTTTACTCTTTCTTCTATTAGTTTAACATAGCCTACATTAAATTTTATCTCTGAATATAGGAGTTATATCAGAGGTGCCTCTTAGAATACCTAGCATATTTGACCCCAAAGTATATATAACAACTCTATTTCACTTTGATAATTGGAACCCGTCACCCTAGACAACACAAGGACCTCTTTTCCTCCTTGTTGGTTAAATGGCGTAAAAATCTCCCAACCGTCAAGAGGCAGCCTTAACTTCCAATTCTTCGAAACCATTTTTGTTATAATCCAGAAGAATGAAAGGATCAAGTGTGTGGGAAACAAACCATTTGATGAATCATTCACTGTGTTCAAAAGTGAGAATTGCCCCTCCATCTTTCACTTCCTATATCCTAGACCAGTGAATTCTGTCCATGGAAGAAATAGCACCATTTATTGGTCATATTTCATATGAATAGAGTCACATAATATATGATCTTTAGTGACTGACTTTTTTCATTTAACATTTCATGTTTTCAAGATTCATTAATGTTGTAATGTATATTAGCACTTCATTCCTTCTTGCTGCTGAAAACATTGCAGTGCCTGAATACACTGCATTTTTTTTATACTTTCCTCAGTTGATGCATATTTGTTTGAGTTTTTCCACATTTATGCTACTATGAATAGAGTTCCTGTGAACACTCATATACAAGTTTTTGGGTTGACATGTTTTACTTCTCTTAGGTATATACCTAGAAGTGGAATCACTTGGTCACCTTATAACTTTGTGTTTAATCATTTGAGAAAATGCTGCATTGTTTTCCAAAGCAGATGCACCATTTTCCATTCCCATCAGCAGAGTGTGAGGGTTCCTGCTTCTCCACATCCTCAGCACCACTATCTGACTCTTTGATTATAGCAGTCCTAGTGGATATGAAGTGGTCTCTCATGTGATTTTGATTTGCATTTCCCTGATGATTAGTGATATTGAGCATCTTTTCATGTGTTTATTGGCCTTTGGCATATCTTCCTTGGAGCACTGTCTATTCAGACCCTTTGCTCATTTTGAAATTGAATGCTTTGTTTTTAATCACTGAGTTTGAAGGTTTTTTATGTTATGGACAACAGTATCTTATCAGATATGTGATTTTCAAGTATGTTCTCCCATTATGTGTTTTCTCTTTGAGTTTTCTAGATGGTGTCATTTGAAGCCCCAAGTGTTTAACTCTGATGAAGTCCAGTCCACTTATTTTTCTCTTGTTGCTCATGCTTTTGGCATTATATCTCAGAATCCTTTGCCAAATCTAAGGCTATGAAGACTTATCCTAAGTTTTCTTCTAAGAGTTTTATAGTTTAGCTCTTACATTTAAATCTTTGATCCATTTTGTGTTCACACAGTAGTATTCTGAGTCCCCAAGGACTACCAAGTTATGACCAACCTAGACAGCATATTAAAAAGCAGAGACATTACTTTGCCAACAAAGGTCCTTTTAGTCAAGGCTATGGTTTTTCCAGTAGTCATGTATAGATGTGAGAGTTGGACTATATAGAAAGCTGAGTGCCAAAGAATTGATGCTTTTGAACTGTGGTGTTGGAGAAGACTCTTGAGAGCCCCTTGGACTGCAAGGAGGTCAAACCAGTCAATCCTAAAGAAAGGGAGGATAAATCTTAAAAGGAGACTGAAAAGAAACAGCCAAAGAGGTAGGAGGAAATCAGGGGACTGCTTTATTTGTGAGTATCTGAAAGAGAGAGAAGTCAATGAATACAACAGAGCTATGAGGTCAAGTAACCTTAAATTGGCCATTGTAACACAATCGCAGTCCAGTGAAAGGGCTGATAATGGTCTCTGAGTCACAAAGTCTTCCATCATAGATCACAGATCAGGAGCCCTTATGAAGTCTGTAAGTCAGGTTCACTGGTATTCCTAGGTCAATGCTTGAAATCATGTGCTTCATCTGTATGTAGGATCAAATAACACATTAAACAACCAGAATCTAAAATAATGAGTCGATACATTCCAAAAACGAGGTCTGTATGCACATGATTCAAGGAAAATTCTTCAACAGTCATAACTTGGGCCAGAAAGAACAAATATTACTAGGAGAAAATCAGTTATGCATATCGTGCTATGCTGTGCTTAGCGGCTCAGTCGTGTCCGCCTCTTTGTGACCACATGGACTGCACCCCCCGAGGTTCCTCTGCCATGGGGATTCTCTAGGCAAGAATACTGGAGTGGGTTGCCATGCCCTCCTCCAGGGGATCTTCCCAAAGTAGGGATCAAACCCAGATCTCCCACACTGCAGGCAGATTCTTTACCATCTGAGCCACCAGGGAAGCCCATGAATATTGGAGTGGGTAGTCTATCCCTTCTCCAGGGGATCTTCACAACCCAGGAATCGAACAAGGGTCTCCTGCATTGCAGGCGTATTCTTTACCAGCTGGGCTACCAGGAAGCCCTATACATATCATACTGGCCTACAAAACTGACTCATGCTTCTTACCTTTCTTTTTTTTTGCTTTTTACCTTTTAAGTGATAGGCAGGAGGTCCATGGTCACCAGAATTTGGAGTATGAAAACCATAAACAGAATTAAATATTAACCACTTTGCATGATTAAAATGTAAACAAACAAGAATTCCTTCTTCAAGCAATTGGGCAAAGTTTCCAACATAGTTGAAAAGTGAATTAACCTTTTTTTGGTTACAAATTAAAATGAATCCCCCTCTTCTAAGAGGCTTAGAAATTCTGAATATAATATACCACATTCTCTTAACTCTGTAGAGGAACATGAAAGAAAAGGAAGAAATCCCCAGGTGCCAAAACAAAGCAGCTAGAAGCCAGTGAAGAAACAAAGTGAAGTCCCACTGCCCTGAGGACATTTGCCCAATTTAGTAACTAGTAGTAACTAGACCCTGGCAGGGGAAACCGCCATTCCTGGAGCAGAAGACATGTCACAGCCAGCACAACGTGGGGAGTGTATTCCCAGAAAATCTTGCCCCCACAAAGGGCTACACTCTCATAAAAGTGCAGACGAGAAAAAAGCCCTTTAGAGAAACAAAGAAATGTGTAAGTTTCAGTCTTAACTGTTAGGAATCAAATGTTTCCTAAATTCAGAAAGTTTTGAGACTCAAATACATACAACCTTCATGTTCCAGAAAACACCACTTTGAGGCTGTACCAGGCTGATGGTGCCATGGCTACCTTGCAGAAGCAAGTGCTCAAACCCAAGTTCAGAAGCAACACTACACAGATGAGGTCACGTGATCCATGTCCATGGTGCCGTTCTATAGAGTGACAACTGTCTGTTTAATGAAGGAGACTGGATCAATTGGAAAAATAAGAAATCTTGGTCCCCTACATCCCTCATTCTCAAAATCAAGTATGGCAGAATGAAAACAGCGAAACTTGGCAACTACAGACTGTGGGCCAAACTTGACCTGCTTCTGTTTCTATAAAATCACGTTTTATTGCAGCAAAGTCACCCCCATTCGTGCACACTTTCTTTGTGACTCCTTTCATGCTATAATGGTAAAGTCAAGCAGTCACAACGGAGACATACATGGCTCATGTATGCGTGTGTGTGCCCAGTCACTTCGGTCACGTCTGACTTTTCGGGACCTTTGGACTGTAGCCCCCAGGCTCCTCCGTCTATAGGTTTCTCGAGGCAAGAATACTGGAGTGGGTTGCCAAGCCCTCCTCCAGGGGATCTTCCCAACCCAGAGGTTGAACCCACATCTCTTATGTCTCCTGCATTGGCATGCAGGTTCTTTACCTACCAAGGCAGCTGGGAAGCCCCAGATAGGGCCCACAAAGCCTAAATATCTATTATTTGGCCCTTTACAGAGAACTTTTGCTGACTTCTATAAAATAACATGGGAATCCCTGATGGCTCAGGGAAATCCCATGGACAGAGGAGCCTGGTGGGCTACAGTCCATGGGGTTGCAAGAGTTGGACACAACTTCAGCAACTAAACCACCACTGTAAAATAACATGGAAGAATATTTTTATGATTTGGAGATAGGTAGACTCCCAAAAGTACTAATGAAGAAGGAAATGACTGATAAATTGGACTACACTAAAATTATGAACTTCTGATTATCAAAATATGACATTAAAATGATGAAAATGCAAGCCACAGAGAGAAAATATTCACAATGCATGTTTTCAAAAAAGGACTATGTCCACAATGTACAAAGAACTCTTCTTACACATCAATAATAAGGGGCAAAAGACTTGAATAGTCTTTTCACAAAAAGGAACATTCAAATGACCAATAAACATGAAATTCCACTAGTCAGTAGGGAAATGCAACTTGAAAACACAATTAACTGGTACTACACACTTACTAGAATGACCAAAATTAAACTTTTTTAAATATAATAATGTCAAGTGAAAAACAGAATCTTTCATATACTGCTGATGGGAATAAAAATGGTGTCTTTACTGTGGGGAAAATGTAAGGGTTTATAAAAGTTAAACATATATGAACTCTATCACCCAGAAATTTCACCCTTAGTTATAGTCCCAACAAAAGGCTTGTTTTCCAAATTACATACAAAAGAATGTTCATGAAACTTTACTCAGAATATCCAAAAACTAAAAACAAACTAAGAGTCTGTGAATAACACAATGGATGAACTGTGTTATTCATACAGTTAAATACCACACAGCAATCAAAAAAACAAATTCTTGATACATGCATCATGGATGGATATGTATGCATCAGACTGCCAAGGCCACCACAGCCAAGTACTATAGGCTGGGTGGCTCAAACAACAAAAGTTTATTTTCCTATAGTTCTGGAGGCTAGACATCCAAGATCAAGGTATCCACAGGTTTGGTTTCTTCTGAAGCCATTCTCCTTGACCACCTCACTCACTGTGTCCTTGCATGGTCAGCCCTCTGTATTCAATCTTATAAGGATTCCAGTCATATTGGATTAGGGATCACCCATATGACTTCATTTTATCTTAACTGTGTTTTTTTTTAAGATCCTGTCTCCAAATACAGTCATATCCTGAGGTTCTAGGGTTAGGACTTCAACCTATGAGTCTGAGGTGGGGCATAATTCAGCCCATAATTACATACATACAAATAAAAGTGAAAGAGTGAAACAAGCCAGAAAGACAAAAAAGTGTGTATTGCATGATTCCAAAAACAAATGTACATGGCAATAAAAGCTAAGACAATTGTGGTTATTCTCTGGGGTTAAGTAATTGGAGAAAACATGGAGTTTTCCAGGGTGCTGGTAATGTCCTTGTTCTTACCTGGGTGGTAGCTGTACAAGGGTGTTTATCTGTAAAGATTTATTTAGCCGTACTGTCATGATTTATTTGCCTGCATCTGTCTTATAGGTTGGTTTTTTTTAAAAGTTTGTTTAAAGTTTAAAACTTCAAACCAAAGCAACAAAAATGAGTACCAACTTTCAACATGTGTTCACAATAAAAACACAAGGAAGCAGATCACCACGAGCAAGTTTATAAGGAGCAAGCATTTGGCTGGACCAACGCTTTAAGGATTTGCATTACTGAAAGCAGATAATAAAATAAATAAGTTTAAAGGAATAATAGAAAAGAATAAAAACATAATCAAAGGAAAAAATTTTACTAAGCCCAAATAGACTGGAAAGTACTCAAATAGAACTCATAGAAATAAAAATATATAATCAATGAAATTAAAATTTTGATTTTAGCAGGAGTTAAAGATCAGTTTTGGAGAAGGAAATGGCGACCCACTCCAGTATTCTTGCCTGGAGAATCCCACGGAGAGAGGAGCCCGGTGGGCTACAGTCTATGGGGTCACAAAGAGTCGGACTTGACTGAAGCACCTTAGCATGCACACATGCAAAGATCAGTTTAGACATGTTGTTGTTCAGTTGCTAACTGGTCTCCAACTCTTAAATCAATGGACTAGAAGACAGCTCTGAAGAAACCATTCAAAATACTGAGAAAAAAAGATGGAAAAATAAAAAAGAAATTAAGACATGGAAAAATCAAACAAGAAATAGTGACAGATATTGAACTGAAATTCTAGAATAAAAGCATATGTATCCCAATCTCTATATCGATTTATCTATAAATCTATTGATCATGGCTTATTTTCAAGAATTATAAAAGATAGAAATCTACAAACTAAAAACACATAATGAATGCCAAACAGGAAAACAACAACAAAATCAATTAATGAATTAATTCATTTAGAATGACTAAATGAATTTAACTTGCTAAATTAAATTAAACTGACCTTAAACCCTGCCCCCAAATAGTTAATCTGGGGGAAATTAAAGTGACAGTTTATTTGGTTTTCTTTCCTAGTTAATGATCATCTGGCTATTGACACCAAAATTCAAGAAACAAAAATTCTCTCTCAATCCTTCTTCAGCTACTCCATAGTATATAACATAGTTCCACTGAAATAATCTTATACAAACAAGTCTTCAAATGATTTTAAAGCTGCTTTGAAATTTTACCTATTTAAGGACCTAGAAAATATTTACCTTATGCTAAGAATATTCACCCAAATAACTTTTTATAGTTCATTTTCTGAAACAATCATTGCAGGCTGTGAAAGTGATTGATAAATGCCCTCTTAAGCTGATTGAGAATACATCAGTCTTTGCAAATAAAAAATCATCTTCAAAGAAACCTCAGATATTTACATTTTGACTGTCACCAGTATCCCTCCATGATAACTTTTGCCTGATCCCTGAATTTAATAATGATTTGTTATTATGTGTTCATGTGAAAGATTACATTTTGAGTGATATGTCAAAATTTCCTATTCTTTCAGCAAAAATAGATCCTCCAGTCATGAGTATAACCCAAGTTAATGGATCTTTGTTGGTAAATCTCCATGCTCCCAACTTACCATACAGAGACCAAAAAGGGGAAAATGTATCAATGGAATACTATGAGCTAGTATATCGAGTCTTCGTAATTAACAATTCACTGGAAAAGGTAAGTTCAGATAGATAAATTTGGTATTTTTTCTTTTAAGTAATTTTCTAGCCATGAAACAGGTCCTGTCTTTTGCTACTCTATCCCCTCTCATTTTTCCTTATCTTTTTTTAGTTCCTTCTCCCTTTCACCCTCTTTGAAAAGCAAATGATGGTTACTATCACCATCAGAATTGTGTGCATGCTTGCACCCTTTTGATCTCTCAGTTGGTTTCCATTTGATCTCCCCTGTATATCTAAAGATTGATATTAACAATACTCCATTCCATTTGATGGTCACAAATATTCATTTTTATGGAAGCTTTACACACCTTTCAAAGTGGCTTTTGGATCAGAGCACTACATATTTGTGCCAATTTTGCTATGATATTACAGTCTCCCATTGGTGCCTTTATTTTGGTCTGGTGGTTAACTGAATGTTCCCCTTTTGGTATCCATCTAAGACTGGGTTCCTTTGGCTGTAAAAGCAACAGAAACCCATTCAAACTGGTTCAAATAGGAAAGTGGAGGGGAGGAGGATTTTTACCAGGTGGTAAAGATCAATCTTAAGACTGCCGAAAGCAAGAAATAAAGTGCTGCCAGGCTTTATAATGACTGGGAGGGAGAACTGGAGAAGTAGGTCACACGTCTACAGTTGTCTCCAAGTCCACTCCATTCTCCTCACTGCGCAGCTCAAATTCTTATAAAGAGACTCTGACCACGGGGGCAGTCAGCGGACACCACTCAGGAAGGAGTCGCGTGGCGCCTGCGCAGCCACGTGACCTGTCCCTCTCTGGAAACGAGGACTCGGGAGATGGAGGGTGTGTCTGGGAGGAAGCCCTACTGCCCACCACTACTGTGGTCATGAACAACTCAGTTTTATCAAAAATAGAGCAAGCCAATGACTTACTGAAAGCTGTTTATCATCTCATTTTCCCCCCTTGTGTGCAGGAGCAAAAGGTGTATGAAGGAGCTCACAGAGTTGTTGAAATTAAAGTTCTCTCGCCTCACACCGGTTACTGCGTAGTGGCTGAGATATACCAGCCCATGTTAGGCAGAAAAAGCCAGAGAAGCCGAGAGAGATGCGTGGAAAGTCCTTGAAGTGGTCGGCAGAGTGCAGTTCAAAGCTCTCTGAGAATGGGACGACTTGTTTTGAAGAATCTTATTGAAAGCCATTCTCATATTTTCATTTTTTTAATTGAAGTATAGGTGATTTACAATGTTACAATGTTAGTTTTTTTATTTTCTTAACACAGTGTTCATCATTATACTTCAGGGACTTATTTAATAGTTCTTTCTTCTTTTATATTTTATTTGTAAATTAAATTTAAGCAGCAGCTCTCCCCACCCCACCCCCAAAATCATCAGAATTTAAAGAGTCCGAGAACAAAGGACTCTGTGAAATACAGAACTTTGTTTCTGTCTCTAACATCTCTAACATAATCTCCACTCTTCCAAGTCTGCTAAATAAAAACTAAAGAACCAAAGAGGTGTAGGCATTTTAAAAAAAATGTTGTTGAATAAATTTTTTAAAATAGTTTTACAAACAAGTGATCCAGATAAATCCTTTTTCAGTCTCTATTGACAGTTAACGTGACATAGGTAATTCAACTTTCACATAAGTGGAATTTTTATGTGAAGAAGTATTTTCCCATATGTTTCTATTTTATATGAATATACTTCAAAGACATTCATTTTCCATTATATAACATTCCTACTTAATGAACCAATATTTTATTTTAAGTTCTACCCTATGTAAATAAGAATGGTATTTTTAAAAACTTCTCACAATCTCTGGATTAATATCTAAATAGTTTATCAACAATAACATCTAAATACCAAAGAAAGCCTACTCAATATAACTTCCCTCATTTAGCACATACTCACATTAATATTCGGAGAAGGCAATAGCACCCCACTCTAGTACTCTTGCCTGGAAAATCCCATGGATGGAGGGGCCTGGTAGGTTGCAGTCCATGCGGTCGCTAGGAGTCAGACATGACTGAGCAACTTCACTTTCACTTTTAACTTTCATGCATTGGAGAAGGAAATGGCAACCCACTCCAGTATTCTTGCTTGGAGAATCCCAGGGACGGGGGAGCCTGGTGGGCTGCCGTCTATGGGGTCGCACAGGGTCAGACACAACTGAAGTGACTTAGCAGCAGCAGCAGCATATTAATATTTTTTTCTGTTTTTGTTTCCATTTTTAATACTGCCTGAGAAGACTATATCCTTATTCTCAAAATCAGGTATAATAATTTTTAGCAACAAGTTAAAAAATAATGCCTAACTCTAATTTATACCACACTCATTACCCAGCCCTTCCAGTGAAGGGTCTCCTGCCAGTGGGATCTTCATTATCTCTGCATACAAGGATCTTCTGAATGACAGTTTGAATTGGGGACATAGGGGATGGTTGGGGACCAGGTAGAGAAGTTGGCTTGCAGCTGAAAGCATAGCATTGGTGGGGGGTTTATTGGGGAAAGGAGCTGGTGTTGATAGAGATTGTAGGGCTATTAAAGCCCCCCAACAACCTTCTAACAGCTCCATGTCCCCAGTGAGTAAAGGTCTATGACCTTGGGCTCAAGTGGCCTTCCCCACTTTAGGCTCAGCTTTGCATATGTGTTTAAGGTTGTCTTTCTTGTGAAACAACATGAATTGGAGAACCTTTATACAATTTCTCAAAAACATTGTTCAAAATGTGACAGAAGTATAGAGTTTCTGGTTTTACACAGTTACATGTATGCATGTATGCTCAGTTGTGTCCAACTCTGCAACCCTGCGGGACTGTAGCCTGCCAGGCTCCTCTCTCCATGGAATTTCCCAGGTAAGAATACTGGATTGGGTTGCCATTTCCTACTCCAGGGATCTTCCCGACCCAGGGATCGAACCTGTGTCTCTTGAGTCTCCTACACTGGCAGGCAGAGTCTTTACCACTGAGCCACCTAGACAATAATAAACATTAAAAAGTATTCAGAAATTCAAGGAGGGAGATAATAAGAGAGAAAGAGCTAGAGAATTAGCTTCACTGCTTTTCTATAAAGTTATAAAAAGTGAATTTGAGCATACATCTCAAAAGTTACTTTAATCTGTGTTTTTGAATTATGCTTTTTTGGGGGGCTTACTGTCCTTTTGAGGGGTAATTAACAGCAATGGGGTAGGTTGGGAGTAAGGATTACACATGGCCAACAGCATTTAAGTTTTTGAAGTTCAATAGTCCTAACGGCTAGCTTTAAAAAGTTATGGTTGCCTCATGAAAGTTATTAGGTAGAATCAAGTTTTGTTTCATGTTTGCTATACTTTGTTTTTGCTTTCATGCTTAGGCATATGACTTGGGCATTCTTAAGCAACTATAAAATACCTTGTAACAAAAGATAAGTGTCATATTCCTCATTGTATTAGGAATATATTGTCACACTATTTCAATCAATAAATTCTTTATAATCTTGTCTCTGTATTAATTCCTTCACAGTTACAAAAAACCACAACCATACACAAAAAGAATGTAGGTAGTCTTAACATTGAACATTATGTACAAACTAACCTCATTTCTTTTGCTCAGTGCTCAGTTGCTCGATCGTGTCTGACTCTTTGTGACCCCCTAGACTGTAGCCCTCCAGGCTCCTCTGTCCATGGAATTTTCCAGTTAAGAAGACTGGAGTGAGTTGCCATTTCCTGCTCCAGGGGGATCTTCCTGACCCAGGGATTGAACCCACACCTCTTGTGTCTTCTGCACTGGCAGGCGGATTCTTTACCACTGAGCCACCTTCCTTTTAATTCCATGGCCCTGCCCAAGACACTCATTGTGATGCCAACTTAGCAGAGTCAGAACTGCTATCCTCCTCCACCTGGAGTGGCCATTCTTTGCCCTGGAAGGAGGCATTACACCAACTCCTAGCATTCCCCAGTCTGGGGATCAAAGTAACAGCTCAGACACGCGGCACACAGTGGAGTCAGCACTTCCTTGTCCTCTTCCACACTCACGTCTTCTTTACACTGAGCACTCAAGCTTCCAGAAGAATCCTGATGCTGCTCTGCTGGCTGTTGACTGGGAAGAGCAATCAGGGGGCTCAGTATACTTAACCAGTCTCTGTTATGTTGGAGGGTCTCCTGTGGAGACATGGGTCAGCAGCAACTCACCCCGGGGACAGCAGCACCAGCAGCAACAGTCCTGGGAGGTGCCCCTGGGCACAAGCCCTCCCGGAGATAGCCAACAATCCCACCATAGAGTCTGTAGACTCCAGGGCTCAATAAATCTATTTTTTTAAATTAATTTTTATTGGAGTATAGTTATTTTACCAAGTTGTGTTAGTTTCTACTTATAGCAAAATGAGTCAACTATATATGTACATATATCCCTTTCAATAAATCTTTTAAATTTTTTGCTTTGTATTTTGAAATATCTATTATTTGGATTTTTGAAGGATAGACTTGTGAAGTCTGTCAGATGAAATCCTAATTAGACTTGTTAGACCCACACTAAGTCCCAGCCAGAAAGGAGCAAATGTTTTGAGCAGGACTTGAGGCATCATTGATCTTGAAAAATAAAAGTGAAAATGTTAGTTGCTCAGTCACGCCCGACTCTTTGCAATCCCATGCACTGTAGCCCGCCAGGCTCCTCTGTCCATGGAATTCTCCAGGCAAGAATATTGGAGTGGGTTGCCATTTCCTTCTCCAGGGGATCTTTCCAACCCAGGGTCGAATCCCAGTCTCCTGCATTGGAGGCAGATTCTTTATCATCTGAGCCGCTAGGGAAGCTCATCACTGATCTCGCCCTATGATCAAATGGCAATTCTACACTTACAGGCTCTCAGGCCAAAAACTCTGAGACCATCTTTGCTTCCCCCATTTCAGTCACATCCCATATTCAATCTGTCAGGAAATTCTCTTGGATCTAAACTCCAAAATACAACATTTCTCACAACTACCTTATTCCAGGCCAACATCCTTTCTCATCTGGATGAATTCTAGAACCACCTGGCTAATCTTCCTCTTTGCTTTTGTCTGGTCTCAGCAGGGTAGCTGGGTGATCTTCTGAGCATAAATCAGGTCATATCACTCTTCTAATCCTCCAGTTCTTCCCCATCTCATAAACGTAAAAAAAAAAAACCCAAAGTTCTTCTCATGGCCCCCTAGACCCCGGATGATCTAATTCCTTTGCTCATAATCTCTCAGACTTCATTTCCTGATTTCGGCTATTCTCACACTGCTCCAGCACACTGACTCCACTGCCTGGCCCTCGAATGAAAATGCTCTGGCCCCGGGGCCTCTGTACCAGCTGCTTCCTGGAGAGCTGTGCTAGAAATCCATAGGCTCATGCCCTCACCTCCAGCAAGTATTTACTGGAAGTTTGCATGACCAGTCAGGTTTCCCTGACCACTCAATCTAAAGTTGCAAACTGCCCATTATCATTCTCTCTACTCCTCATTTCCCCCCACAGCCTTTAAACCACTTGTTGCTCTGTAGTTTACTTATTTATCTTGTTCCTTGCTTGTCTTTCCCTCCTCCACTAGGGCTGTTATTTGGTTTGGTTTGGTTCCCACGGCCGTCTCTTCATTCCCTAGAACAGAACCAATGCACAGCAGATGCTCTATTTATATTTGTCGATAATTTAATGAAACAAGAGTAGAACCACTGAGATCATGGGAGAAGTGGTAAGGAGGACAGGAGGGGGGTGGTTTTCTTATCCTTTTGTACAAGCTGCCTATCCTCCTCCATAAGTTAGTGTGAGAGAGCAAGCCACTCTTTAGAAAGTTGCAATGACGGGGATAAGCAGAGAACAGTTTGTGGGCAGCTCTGAGCAGAGAGCTCTCCTGGAGTGATTGTTTCTTCTTCCAACTGAGTGTCATTTCCTAGGCATTGTTTGTTCTGCTTGGATAGTGGTCAAGCCCAGAAGTCCCCTCCCAGATTTTCTTTAAAAGGATGGAAGGAGAGACTGGGAATGTGAAAAAGGCATGCCCACTTTGGGGGGGGGGGGTTGTCTTAACTTTTTGAATTTATTATTTATTTACTTTCGACTGCACTGGGTCTTCGTTGCTGCTGAGGCTTTTCTCTAACTGTCAAGAGTGAGGACTCGTCTCTAGTTGTGGTGTATGGGTTTC